GCCCAGCCCCTTCTGTACACCACCTTCATCATCATGATGCTCTCTCTCTTCAGTGCCCAGCCCCTTCTGTACACCACCTTCATCATCATGATGCTCTCTCTCTTCAGTGCCCAGCCCCTTCTGTACACCACCTTCATCATCATGATGCTCTCTGAGTTCTCGGCCCTTTCTCTACACCACCTTCATCATCATGATGCTCTCTCTCTTCAGTGTCCAGCCCCTTCTCTACACCACCTTCATCATCATGATGCTCTCTCTCTTCAGTGTCCAGCCCCTTCTGTACACCACCTTCATCATCATGATGCTCTCTCTCTTCAGTGTCCAGCCCCTTCTCTACACCACCTTTATCATCATGATGCTCTCTCTCTTCAGTGCCCAGCCCCTTCTCTACACTACCTTCATCATCATGTCACTCTCCTCAGTGCTCAGCCTCTTCTTTGCATTAACACTTTTATGATGGCATTTAGCAAATAGTTCCCAGTAGACTCAGGCACAACATTTCTCTTTCTTACCACCTGTATGTAGGCATGATTCTCTTTCCTGCCATTACATCCTCATTTGACATATAGAACTCTTCCTAATAAACAATTTGGTGATCAAGGAAGCTGGGGCTTATTGTCACCCCTAGAAAAGCAGTCTAGAAAGAGATGGAGCTGAGATTTGAACACGGGCCACCTGATTTCCATGGCTTACAAAGCAATCTTCACTTGTTTACTTTCCATGAACACACCTAGCGATACTATGCAACATGACAGAGAACTCTTGAGGACAAGCCTCTTCCCTGTCCCTGTCTTGCACTTGCCTAAGATCCCAGCTGTATATGAGCCAGTAAATGTAGACACGGGCAGCCTTAATCACAGAAAACCCAAGTGACTCCCCAGGTTGGTGAATGATACTAAATGGCACTTTAGGAAACAAATGAAATGGCGGCATTTGAGCCTTGTGCACCAGCATTGCCAGCACCAGCAGTTGCTGTGAAGGCCATCTTTCACAAAGACAGACCTCTGTTCGGCTTCCAGGAGGATGGCGGGCTGGCTGGCCACAGAGGCGCTTTGTTCTGCAGGGCCCTGCCTGTGCACCAGCCTGCCGATGCAGATTTGTGAGCCTGCAGTGTGGTGGATTTCTCACACATCACACCCTTTTGAGCTGTTAATGAATGGGTGTTGGGTTCTGACTGTCAAATCCTTGTCTGCTAAGCTGCTGCCGTGTAGAACTGAGGAAATGCTTTAGGAATGAGAAGGGAAGCCAGCCTCTGAGGGGATCCTGGCAAATCATCATCAGAGCTGCTGAAGTGGAAACCCCTAAATGCAGTGAAAAACAGTCACTTGCCAGAATGCTTGTTTTACTTATTATATTATATTTATTATTATAAACAACTTAATATAAAATACCTACATGTTCTCTGCTGTAGACAAGCCCTTTGGGAAACCATCATTTCATCAAGGACCTTTACCCCAGTGGACCACACATTTAAGTAAATTGGTTTCAAATACTTATGAAGGCATCTATTCACATAGTAGAGATATCCTGGACATGGGTTGATGAAAGTGCTTCGTTCATTCAACACAGTTGACTGCCTGTTGTGTTATAGGCGCTGTCATGGGCATTGGCAATGCTACAGTGAACAGAGCTCACCAGTCTGTACATCCTAGTGTATGGAGAGTGAGGAGAAATTTGTTAGTGAAATAAATGGTAATATTCAGAAGAGGGCAAGCATTACAGGGAAAATATGAATTGGCAAGAGACAGAGGATGAGTAGAGGGATGATTTTGTTATGAGCTGGTCAGGAAAGGAGTTACAACTTGAATGAAGGATTCAGGGAGCCACGTGGATAGCCAGAGGCAGGATGTTGAAGAAGCAAAGGGCCTGGGGCAGGAGCATACCTAGCATGACTGAAGGATGGCAGGGCATGGGGTTCTGCGTGGCTATGTGAGGAAGGGTGGGTGAGGTGGGGTGGTCTTGCAGGGTTGAGTGGAAGATTAGCCTAGACGGGAGGAATGAGCAGGGAGGGCAGTAGCTGTCAGTAGGATCTGTGCATTTCCTCTGAATAAGAAGGAAGCCCTAGAGAGTTCAGTGGAAAAGGTTAGAATTTGTCTTGTGTGACAGGAACAACAGCCACCGAGCCTGAGAACGAAGGCAAAAATGAAGAGACTGGGCAGAAAGCTTTGTGATCCTCCAAATGTGGGGGTAGCCCATACCAAGTGTGTAACAGGGGAAGCTGAGGGCAGAGTTGGGTTGAATCCCTAGGTACCATGTCCCCACTTCCTTGGCAAGCTGGGGCACAGTTCCTGTCTTCTGAGTAATCACTGGTAACCACCAACCTTTGTTGATTTATTGACTGCCTTGCCCAGTGAGCCATTTATTCCCTTAGATAGGATCTCTTAGGTCCTGCCTTTATAAGTCAGCTCTTAGATGATGATCTTATTTATAAGTTCTAGGCTTACCTCACTACTGTCTCCAACTATAATACCCTGACCCAGAAAACTGCCTTCCAAGTCTCCAGGTGTCACATCTATTTTCAGTTTTTGATTGAGTTTCCTGAGAACCTTGCCTCTGGGTGAAATTGAGTCTGTCTAGGTGTCATAGATGCCAAACTCTGGTCACTCCTGGGATCTCCATTCCCAGTCCAGGCCTGTTCATCGACTCTGAGGACTTCATAATTGCCTGATAAGGATGCTGTCACTTGACATTGCAAACTTAGTTAGCCATCTTGGACAGACTAAGGATTCTCTTGGGTTCTTTACCACTGCCCAGTGCCCAGACATTGGTTTCCCAGCTTTTTATAGTATCAAGGCTTCAGCTGTTTGCTTTCTTATCAGGCTGCCTGTTTCCTCCAAATGAACCTTTGTGGGATTCCTTGCACTTTTCATTGTTCTTTTGGATCTTCTATTTTTTACCATCACTTACCTGCAAATGGGCTAGCAAAACTACCGACTCTTTTCTTGTGTCTTCTGGATATGGTCATTTTGGAACCAGGTTTTACATCAACATCACCTGGAACCTTTAAATCACTATTTTGTTGGGACGGAGAGATTGCTCAGCGGTTAAGGTGGAACACTGCTTGATCTTGTAGAGGACGGGAATTCAGTCTCTAGAACCCAAAATTGGGCAGCTCACAACTGCCGGTAACTGCTGCTCGAGAGGGATCTGAAGTGTCCTATCTTCCACAGACATGTACATTCATGTGCACAGACACATGTGCTTATATACATAATTAAAAATAATACAAAGTCTTTAAAAAATATGGCTATGCCTAGATCAACCAAGGCAGTATCTTGAGGGTGGGCTCAGGCATCAGTGTACTGTAAAAAGCTCACAAATAATTCCAAACACAACTTCACTTTTCTTAAATGAATATGAGTAGATCCAGGCCCAGGCCCCACAAACTGTTTAGGTTTCTCATTCTCTATAGCTCAAAAGTTCTATCTGGGTGAGGCCTTACAGTCAGTCAGTCAGATAAGGGATTAGAAGAAGAAAACATTCGTTATATAAACTTAACTCTCCACTCCATGACCAGGACATAAGGTCTGGAGTATGCTGTGTGTTCATTTGGTCTAGTCTATGATCTGTTCTGAATAGCACTATTATGTATTACAGTTTGTGTTCATGGTTAGAGGAGGGAATTTGTTAGCTATGAATGACTTTGATGCATCACAAAATGTTTCTCTTTCTTTAATGCATTTGGGGTTTTTGTATTCTAGAAATTTCATATTCCCTGGCTGAGAAGTGGGGACTTTGGGGGAGAGTTGACATAGCCAGGAAGACAGATATCCAGAAGTTGGATCATATTCTTTCGGGATTCAAGACCCTGGAAAGTTCTCCTAATCATCCTCAGATGGGAAGTTCTGTGCTTCTGCTATTATGAAGGTGGAAGACTGAGGGTCGGGAAGTTTTACAGAGTTAATTATGTACAGGTCCCTCATGCAGCTTTGTAGAGTGTCCTGGTCTCCATGCACGGCCCCACCCAATTCGCCACATTAGACCTCATGCCAGCTGGCCTTTTGTAATGTGTTTCCTCTACTGTACCGACCTCCAAGTCCTCTTTGTCTGGCTGGATCCTGCTCCTCCTTTGGGACTGGGTTCAGGCATTACCTCCCATTGGCTGCTATCCCTGTCCCGTCTTCCCAGCCTTGCCTGGTTAGGTGTCCCCTCCCTTGTTCCGGGTGCTTTTACTCTGCTTTGACATTGGTTGCACTTCATGTAATCTCTTCCCTGTTTTCTTCCCCTCCACTCATGTAGCTTGTTTGCTCTTTATTTTCTAGTGTTTAGCACAGTGCCTGGCATGTTGCTTTATTGTAGGAATGAAATCAGAAGTTCCACAGTTTCACTGTTAGGTTTGATTTGTCATGTAGTTCCCAGAAGAATGGCTTAAAAGCTCAGTGGTCCTCTTCCTTTCCCTCCCTTCTGGGTCAAATTGATTGGCAAGAAGAGTTATCCCCTCTCTTGGGCAAAGTGTAGATCCCCAGCATCCATTGTCACAGCACAACGCTTTACCAGGCTCCTGAGGGTGGGTGTTCTGGCCACTGCCATGGTTCAGATGTGACTTGAGTGTGTTGGAGACTTGGTCCTCACTGTGGTGGTGTTGAAAGCGGTGGAACCTGTAAGAGATAAGGTCTGGTAGAAGGTGGGTAAGTTATTGGGGGTACCATCTCTGAAAAGGGATACTGTAGTTCTTGAGAGCAGCTGGTTTCCATGAGAGCAGTTGTTATGAAGAGAGTGAGTCTGGCTCTAACGCTTTCTCTGCTTTCACCACGTGATCTCTTCTACACATGCTCCTGCCATCCTGATGCTGTTTATCATCAGTGCCTCACCAGCAGCTGAGCAGACTGGGTGGTCCAAACTTGTAAATTCACTCTCTAAAACTGTTCCCTTACAAAACACCTAGCCCCAAGTCTTTGTACGACAATAGAAAACCAACGAATACAGTTGTTTTTGTTGTTACACGTGATGCTTCAGGGAACAGGCTTACTCATTGCTCTAACAAATTATCACAAATTTGATTACTTAAACAGAAATGCATTACTTTATTGTTCTGGATGTCACAAGTCCGGAATAGATATCATGGAGGTCAAGGTGTCAACAAAATTGTACTCCTCTTTGGAGACTACAAAAGACAGTCTCTTTCTGCATCTGTAGCATCATCATGCTGCCTTCATTTCTTGACACCAAACCTCTTCCATCTTGACAGCCCAAGCTGATTGAGTCTTTCCTATTTTGAATCACTGTGACACAGTCCCTTCTGTCATCCTTGTTCACTTCAGAAGACGCTTTGGGCTACATTGGGCTCATCAGGTATAATCTAGGAGGCTCTTAGTGAGGTAAGCCGGTTGGCAACCCTTATGTTTATGCAGCCTCTGTTGCTTCCTGCCATGAATGTAACAGATTCACAAGTTCTCAGATTTAGGATGTAAGCATCTCTGGGGGTGACATTGCTCAGTTTACCATTATCACACATCTTTGAATGTTTGTATGATGATCTCTGTAAAAATAAATTAACTAGGAATGAGCCCGCAGAATTGTAGAAGATTTGCACAAAATTTACAGTTGCCTTCATGAAGATCTAGAGTTTTACCCACTATATGCAAGTCCTATTCCTGTCACCCTTCAGCCTGAACATGTCAATGCATTGACTCATTGTCAGTTGTACTGTCAAAAGTAATTTAGTACCCCAGAATATGAAAACTAATAAAATATGACGCATCCATTTCCCTAAAAGCTAATGGAGCACAGATGTATCCAGGACCCGAAAGTCAGCTGTCTTTCAAAGGACTGTGCTTTGCTTAAGTTAACATTTATAAAGTCCACATGGTATGAGAACTAACATCCCATGAATAAAGACGTACAGAATCAAGGATAGGGGATATTTTATGATAATATTTTGGCTAGCAATACATACTGGGATTTGAGTCCATTGATTTTTTTAATTTACCAACTTGTACATTCATATTTAACATACACCTTATTCATTATAGGCAGTCTCTGCCATCCAGGAACTTATAAATCATGAAAAGGGCTAAGACACAAGTGCTAGTTCACAGCAAGTGATTAAGAGCTGATGATTATATTTGTATAAGAATCCATCCATTGTAGCTGTGTACTGTCCGGTTACGGTGGGCCACCTTTATTCTGGAAATGTCTATGTGCTTAAGGAAATAATTAGATGATTATGCAATATAAACCATAGTAACCTGAACTTTTGTCCGAGAACAAAACTTTATCAAACCTCAAAGAGTAGTCTCAAAAATAGACTATCTTAAATAAGCTAGTCATGCAGTTTCAGCTGGCAACCTAAGGTAGTGAGACGGGTCAAATCTATCAGCACAGAAAGTTAAGCTAATAGCCGCTGGGGCTGGAGGACGGGAGAATGGGAGTGAGTTGTTGATGGGCAGAGATCTTTGTGGTTTCAGTTTTGCAAGGGGCTGGGTGCTGATTGCACAATAGCATAAATTCACTTACTGTTACTTAGCTGCAGACTTAAAGAGTGAGATAGTAAGAATTGTGTGTTATGTATACACCACCTTTAAAACTGTTTAAAATGCTCTCTTCTAAGCAGTTATGGGAGGAAGTTAATGTAAGCAATAGAGTGCCATCTTTGTTAGACATGTCCATGTCTGTGTATTACTCACCCAAACATTGCCAGTTGCATACTAATTGACCTATTTTGCAGATGAAGAAGGCTCCATAACTGTCCAGTCACAAACTAGAATTTGAGCTCTAATTGGCTTTCCTCCTGTGCTAACACCTAAAGGCACCCACTGATTTACACTGAATGTCTCCTTTAGCCATATTAAAATTGAGCTGGTCCTGTTGGTGCATGCCTGTAACTCAGGTACCTAAGAGGTAAGAGGTGGGAGGGAGGATCAGAAGTTCAAGGTCAACCCTGGCTACTTAGTGATTTTGGGTCCATCCTTCAATAAACGGACCTTGAGTTAGGAACAATGGCAAAAAGATGGTACCCAGAGTGGCAGTGACTCACATGCTCGGAGCTTAAGCACCCATGAGGCTGAGGAAGGAGGATGGAGAACTGTGAGCCTCAAGCCAGTCTGGGCTATAGTCTAAGAACTTGTTTCAAAAAAATTCTACCAAATATCATGAAGAAAAAGCCTCCTCTCCCCACATAGAACGATAAAACACCACACGCTTATTTATTCAGAGCATAAAAAGCTTGGAAATATCCACATCTACAGTTGAAGTTCATGTTACTAAAAAGTTCTTCCTTCTCCTCTCTCTTCCCTCCCCCATTCCTTCTTGCTGGCAGTGTGAAGCAGAGTCTTAATCAGAGTCACACAGCACAGCAACCTGTGTCAAGGTGACTTATAATTTCATTATCTCCACCACGGCGTCTTTCACTCTGAAGGCTGGGGCAGATCTGTGATAGATCGGACAAAGGACGTGCCCCACCTGCTTTGCCTCCTACTCAGCTCTGGATGACATCATCTGAAAAGTCATTTCCTGCTTGATCTTTATCTCTAATGCCACTAAATTAATGGTCTTACTTCCTTTACTCTTGTGTGTAGAATTTGAGAATAGAAATACAATGACTTCCTATTGAGCTTTATGCTGATGACCCTAAAAGGTCATGTGTTTGGCTCTTCTCTAGGGAGAAGAGAAAACAAAACAAAACAAAAAGCAAACGAAAACCAGAAACTGGTAGTTTAATGTAGAAAGTGAGCAAATAACTCAGCTGAAGTCCAGTGTGCACCACTGCCATTAGCTGATGGATGTGCTGTCGGACTACAGATTCACTGAGGACTTGAAACAAGACCTGGACAGACAGTATACAAGTTTTACAACCGGCTGAAAAGGGTGGTGGTCATTGTAAACTCTGCTTACCACCGTGCGACACTCCGAACGAAGCTGGTTCCCCCGTGCAGTAAGGAACAATGAAAACAACGCAAGACTTATATTTGCCACCAGAATCCACAGCTGCCAATTCCAAAGAGACACTGGGCATTGAGTGACAAACTGTCAAACAGATTCCTTCAGGGAAATTAATGTTCCTAAAAGGAGCAAGCTGTAAACTGCAGCTATCACTAAGGGTGAGCTTGCTCAGATGACACCACCCAAGGGTCAAGCTAGCCGACCAAATTCACTGAAGATGGCTATTCTTCATCACCCCTTTGATTATAAATGTTTCCTTTTTTACCCCAGAACTTTTGGGGTACCATCTTATTGTCAAGCCTTCACAGTGCTTTTCAGTGCAACAGAGTGACAGTTATATCTACTGTGCAGATGTATTAATGGTTTAAGAGCAAAAACCCTCAGAGCCTTTGCACTCCTGACTCTAACGTGGGAATTGTCCATCTTTATTAGTCCTCTTAGCAGGAAGCTGATATAAGACTGACAGGGGCAATGAGTTGTTTTATTTTTTATTTTTTGTTGTTTTTGTTTGTTTGTTTGTTTCTTAGACAAGCTTTCTCTCTGTGTAGCCTTGACTGTCCTGGAACTCACTCTGTAGACCAGGCTGGCCTCAAACTCACAGAGATCGCTTGCCTCTGCCTCAGCAGTGAGTTTTAAAATTTAAGCTTTTCATCAGATCATGATTATTTTACTTGGAGGGGTTAAGTAAAGAAACTGTTTGTTCTAGAGGGAGTTTTGTTTTTAATACTTTATTTACTTTTATTTTATTTGCATTGGTATTTTGCCTACATGTATATCTGTGTTAGGGTCTTAGAGTTTGAGACAGTTGTTAGCTGTCATGTGGGTGCTGGAAATTTATCCCAGGGCCTCTGGAAGAGAAGTCAGTGAGTGCTCTTAACTGATGTTCATCCCTCCAGACCATTTTTTGGTATATTATACTTAGTAAGTACAGGAAAGTGAGGTAAAAGCAGTCATTCTGGTGTTAGGCTATTTTGTTTACACACACACACACACACACACACACACACACACACACCACAGCACACCCCTGCTGAGTACATGGCTTCCAATGCCTCTCAGTCCTCAGGCACCCTTTGGGGGGAGGAGGATGTCATTCTCCACGCAGGGTACTAAGAATGAGGTGATTTACAGGAGGTCAGGGTAGGAAGAAGTGAGGTCAAGGCAGCTTTAATGTGTAACCTCAGAGCCTTTGTTCTTAATGGTGGATGTGTTCTTCCATATTTTCCCTGGGTTTCCTTTGAAGTGTGTTATAAACATGGAGGCAGGAAAAAATGTAGTAGACTTACATGCTGGCGAACACGCTGCGGTGACTATAGAAGAGGTGGTGGAAACGGGAGACACCTCATCTCTGTTCCTTGTCCAATGTGTGTCCTCGGAATGGTGACCCTACCTGACCCTTTATCTTTTCAGTCCAAGTAGAGGTAGCTATAACCCTAGAGCCATCCCTCCAGGATCAGTTTCCCATGATCCTGTGTGGATTTGATTTTGTGTGTGTGTTACCCTTTTATAGAACCAAGATGAACTTGAGGGGCTCATCTTTTCTGAAGCAAAATTGATTGATTAGCAGATTCTGTGTGTGTGATTATGTACATGATATATTTGCATATATGATTGGTTTCTAGTTTCATGTTTTCTCATCAATATTCCACAAATTTAAAAACGAAGTATCTACTGAATACATGTTTACTCATATATGACATTTATCACTTTCTATTTTCTTATTATTGAAAGCATACATTTTTCCACATTTTTACTTGTATAGATGACTAATTTTTGGTACAGAATATTAGCTTTTTTTACTGTTGTAGCAAATTACTACATGTTCCATGGATTAAAATACCATAAACACATTGCTTTCTAGTTTTAGAGACCAGAAGTCAGGAATAGGTCGCACTGGACTAAAATGAAGTCATTGGTCAGGCTACCCTCATACTACAGGATCGTGGGAAAATGAGTCTCCTTCATTTCCCAGCTTGGCTTATTGCCACCTTCCATCTCCAAAGCCAGCGAAAGCAGGTGAGCTACATCTTGAAAGGTATCCCTCTGGTCTTGGCCTCTTCCTCTGCCTTCTTCCTTGGTGATTCGGTTTGATCTACTTGGATAATCTAGGATGAACAACCAACTCCAAACTCACTCACTTGGCAACCTCAGCTCCATGCAACCTGTCTCTCATCATGTAACATTGCCTGGTCACAGGAGTCGGTATTTGCTGGACCACGTGGGGGAAACATCATTGTCCTACATGCAGTAATTCTTCCAGAAGTCTGTCTTGCTGTAATGTGAGGCTCTTTGACCCACCTGGTCCCACAGCCCTTGAACCCCAAATAAACACACAGACGCTATATTAATTATGAAGCTGTTGGCAGGTGACTGGGGCTTCTTTATTGGCTAGCTCTGTCTTAATTATTAACCCATTTCTATTAATCTAAGTATTTCCATGTGGTCTTATCTTACTGGGGAAGGGTCCAGCATGTCCTACCTTCCCAGTCTCACATGGCATCTGCTGTCTGCCTACACTTCCCAAAATTCTCCTCGTCTCCTTGCCCTGCCTATACTTCCTGCCTCATTGGCCACAGTGTTTTATTCATCAACAAGTAAGAGAAACATAAATAAAGAAAACATCCTCATCATCCTGCAGAAGGGATCAGGAGCAGAAAAAGTTTAAAGGCTGCCATGTCAAACATATGGCACTTGGGAGTTAGTTCTGATCTCCATCATGCAATCGCTTTGTACTGAATAATACTGTTTCTCATTATTCTCCGGGCCTACAAGATTATTAGTGCAATGCCTTCAGGTGATAGGAAATTCAGAGCATGAAACACCGCAGAAAGAAAGTCTCTTCCTGACTGGTGTCCTCCAAGTTCCTCTACAGTGGCTCTAGGCTGTCTGTAGAGATTCTCTGTGTACACAGAGGCACACTTGTGCCTCCATACCCCCTTTAGCACAAGTTCTTTAGGCCTTTGCAGTTAATGTAAGAAATACCATCTTGGATCTAGAAGTTCTACGTAAGACTGCCACAATGAATTACCTTTTATCTTGCTTTAGGCATTTTGACCGTATAGAGACTTTCTCATCTTTTACTAAGAAGCCTGGATGCACAGACACTCTGGTTCCTGTAGCTGCAGGGTCAGTGTGCAGGGGCATATTGAAATAATTCCTTTCCAGAAGGGGCACCCGTGTCTTCATCCTCAGAGTTCCACATTGTGTTTATGTGCTGAAAAATAAAGAGCGTGCTATGTGGTAAGACTAACCATTCCTGACCGAGAAATAAATGATAATGTAACTTGGGTTTATGCAAAATACGGCAGATAAGCAGATTTCAATTCTTTGAATTCATACTTTTACAAAAAATGATATGATCACCTTATCTATAATCATGTTCTGAACTGTAGTGTTCTGCAATTGTTGTGATGGAAAAAAACTGTGATGAAATAAATTCAACCCAGTTTTTCTACATTCCAACTATAAACAGGGTCTTCCCACACCATGTAAACAATCAAGGTAACTTCCTACATGCATGCCTAGAGACCTGTCTCCCAAGTGAGTCTAGGTGCTATCAAAGTGACAATTAACTGTCACATGATCTAGCATCTGTAGATGACAGAGTCATGTCTCAGTATCAAAAGATGGGACACAGAACTGGGAAGAGAGCTCAGTGGTGTGTTTTCTGCAAATGCATGAAGACCTGAGCTTGTCTCCTCAGGACCATGTCAAAAAGGTGAGCATAGAGTGGTGCACACCTGCACCCCAGTGTTGACGTGAAGACTCACTGGCCACCCCGCCTAGCTGAAATGAAAGGAAGATATTTGGACATCAACCATTAACCTCCACACATACCCACACAGGCTAGCATAACTGCGTATATGCATCCACACATGTATATAACACACACACACACACACACACACACACACACACACGCATGCATGCACACACTACACACAGAGTTTTGACAGCTGTGGAAGTGAAGTTATATACTGTTTATAGGAATAGAAATTTTTATAAGTTATCAATTTATTTTATTTCAAACTTCAACACATAATTTAAATTTACAAACCCCTTGAATACTCACATTGATATTTCTCTAGGCTATTTTGTTAAAAACAAGAGTTGTTAGGACAAAGATAGTCATAAATGATGTGTATTTCAATGTTTGTTTTCTTTCTTTCTTTCTTTCTTTCTTTCTTTCTTTCTTTCTTTTTGTTTGCTTGTTTTTGTTTTTCAAGACAGGGTTTTTCTGTGTAGCCCTGGCTGCCCTGGAACTCACTCTGTAGACCAGGCTAGCCTTGAACTCACAGAGACCCACCTGCCTCTGCTGGGAGTAAAGGTGGGCGCCACCACCACATAGATCAATGTTATTTATAATTTCACAGCATTTGTTGGTAAAAAACGGGCTATATGTAAAAATTGGAATACTAGAAAAGAATTTTTAAGAAGAAAAAGTATATATTTTCACATCTGTAGATGTCTATGCTAATGCTCTATAACATGTTTCTAAGACACATCATCTTGTATATCTAAAACTTTATAAATCTCTTTAAAAGGGGCCTCGGTGGTTATGTTTGAAACTGTAGAGCCTCAAATTTGTCAGCAGTGGACTGGGGAAGTTGTGGTCAAGTAGGGCAAAGAGCAGCTTTATACTTTTAACTTCATACAACCCATGACTGTTTGAGATTTTACTCATCAGAGAAGCCACCCAATTACCATTAAAATTAAACAGCAAACGTGAGTGGTTTAGGGTACATTGGGAGGTTTAAAGGTTAGGCATAAATTGAGATATTTCCTCGCACCTGCCACTGAGGACCACACACATGGCTAGACCTAGGAGGAGAGATACTTGGAAATGACCCCCACAACCGCCTAACCCAGCTAGTGACTCATTATTGTGAAGGAGGAAGGAAAGACATGCTGTGGAGGAAGGAAAGACGTGTTGGCCGACAGCTGCCTTTTCCTCCTAACCTGGTCTTGCTACAGAGCAGAAATGGTCCACATCTGTTGCCGCTTCTGGAAAGGGCTTTCCTGTGGTCTTCATCCCAGAGACCACTGAAGTTCATTGGTGACACTCCCCACAGCCCTTGCTGGAACCCACCACAGTCTGCTTCTCTCATCCTCCCCTTTTCTAGGAATTGAGATGCCATGGGTCAACCTCACACTTCTGTATTAGATTTATCAAATTTGTGCTGTTACAACCAATCTTTGCTAGCTTGGGAGTAAAGATAACTTTACTTATGGGGTTAATCATGGTCATTTGGAATAGTCAGTGTGTGTGTGTGTGTGTGTGTGTGTGTGTGTGTGTGTGAGTGTGTGTGTGTCTGTGTGTGTAGAAAGGTGTGCTCAGAACCTCAGGTACTGGAGGTGAGAGTCAACATGAAATATGTCGAGTCATGGTTTTTGGTAGCCCAGGAAAGGCTGGTGAGATGTTTTGCAACACGAAGGAAATTATTAGACTGAGCACACGGGAAGTTGAAGTAGAGGGACCGGAACCAGGCATTGTGTATGCTTTAAAGGTGTTTGAGAGTTGATGGTTCATTTTGTGGTAGGAAGAATACAGGCATTAGCTGGAAGGAATTATGATTTCACTCCTTGTCTTACAGCCTTTAAAAATGAAACCCAGGTAAGTAGTAAACTTCAAGCAAGCATCAGGTTTGCTCAGCAGACATGGCTGAGTGATGTGTTAAAGAACTGGAGTGACAGTGTCCCGGAAGACACTCAGAAAGATCTCACCTGCATTCAGTGTGGCTCAGAGCACTGGCACCCACTTCCTGCCTGGTCTCTGGGTCTCCTGCCCACTGTGCCCACTGTGCCTGGTTCCGGCTTTGAATGCTCTGTGGAAGTGGGCAGCTACTGCTTCTGGGGAAGCATTGGACCCATGGCTAGGAACTTTTACTTTGTTTAACAAGGGACTTCCTCACTTATGTGCTACTGGCTTTCAAAGATTCCATAGAAACCATTCCTATAATGCTGAACTCAGCCTTGGCCCCATTCAAACACATTTTTTTTTCTGTGCAAGTCACAAGGTTTGGCCTTTTCAGTTTTGCCCTTTTCACATGTCCCTGGTCTCCTTCTGTTTCCAAAGTGTGTCCATCACGAGGGCCAAGGCCTCCTTTGCCACAGTAAGGTTTATGCTCAAGGTCTTGGCAGGACCGCAACTGGAGAAAAAAGATGTGCTCTAGTGACACACTTAATGTCAACGTCTTTGCTAGCCACTGGAGATGACATCAGCAGCTCACACAACCAACTCTGTGGTGCAGAAGACTGCCATTAACCAAGTGGGGGTGCAGGCTAGTGCCTTGGCTTGTCCAGGGGAAGATGTCCTTCAGTGGTCACCTCTACCTCCTCCATTGTCCTTCTACCTCCTCCCCTCCCTATGCTGCCACGTAGACACTGCCCACTTCCCGGTCCAAAGGGGTGGCGGCCTGAGCTCTTGATCCCAGACAACCTCCTTTTCAAGCAAATCTCACCCATTATTCCAAGACCCTCAGTGCTTGCAGCTGGAATCACAAGCACCATATTTGAGTGTGACCACCTTCTTCAAGCAGCTTCCATTTCTTCCTGTTTACTTTAGTGATATAAACTCACTGTAAAGAGTTCGGGAAACAAAGGAAGATGTAAAGAACATTAATCACTGCCCTCTGCTAATCGCCCCCATCTGCTAGACTGTTCCCATGCAAGCCACACCGGCATCCTTTTAAAAATGCAACTGTACTGTTCATGATGCCTGTCAAACTTCAATCCATTATTTACCTCCCTACAAAATCCATCTTCAACTGAGAACTGGGAAACAGCAGGTGCTTCTTATATCAGGTGAATCCTGTGTGTGAGAGATGAAGGAAAGCGTGTATGGTGTGGAACAGCTCCACGAGGTCTGGGACTTCATCTCGGAAAACAAATGGCTAGAGACAACTGTGGTGTTCAAGATCTGGAAACAACTGGAGGTCGGTGCTGAGATTCCTGGGTTCATTTTCAGTTTGTAACTATGGAGCCTTCACGTGGGCTATTCATGTGGCTTCCTCATAAGGTAGCTGCCTAAGAGAGCTATGCTTGTATGGTGACTCCAGGCTCTAGAAATGGGTGTCCCAGTGAACGCAGTCAATGTGACACCTTGCATGACCTAACCTTGAAAGTCAAGAGGCATTGTTCTGCCATTATCTTGATTAAAGTAGTAACCAATCATTATTGTTTGGACATGAATATTAGTCTCCAGCTGGTGCTGGTCTTTTGGGAGTCTCTGGGAACTTTGGGAAGTATGAACTGGCTGGAAGAAGCAAGGTCACTGGTGGGGAGTCCTTGGGGGACTCTTATCCCTAGCCACTTTCTGCTCATATTCTGCGTCCTGACTGTGATGACATGAACAGCCAACCTCCAACCCACACCCCCACTGCCACGATGTGTCCAACTACAGGAAGCCAAGTGACCACAGGCTGACCCTGTCTGAACCAATCATAGATCTGAGAGACACAGCCCTTAGCATGAGATTTTACTACGTCTGCAGTGGCTTGGGAGGCTCACAATTTCTCAGAGACCCACATTGTTTCCTCCACAAGGCTGAGCACAGTTGCAGAGTTTGTCTTCAGTAAATATTGACCAGCCTGTTGCCAGACCCAAGAAATTCTCAGACAACACAAAGGCCAGTCCCTAAAAGTGTTATAGGAAAGGATTCTGCTCCTTCAAGGTAACAAGCTATAGAAATGATCCCTGAAAGTATAATCTTCTGAACCTTCAAGGTGTGAAGGATATAAAAGAATGTTCATCCTTCCTCACAAAGCTCTTTCTTAAGGGACTTCTGGGGGACATAAAACCTGAGCCTGAAAGAGCATTCCTTACAGTGTTCAACCATTTTAATTACACGGGGTCATAGTACAAAAAGGTTAAAAATCTATGGTTTACACATGTAATCTTTCCAGCTCCCCAGCCACAAAAAGAGTTTTAAATATCCAAGCCTTTTTTCCCCAAAGTGTTAAGAAATGACTCAGAAATGTCAGAAACACACCCCTGTGTATAGGTCTTGGACCTCTCCCGATTCCTTTATTGTTTTTGAGGTGGATGAGGTCTCCTGGGTTTTAATTCTTCAGGGCAAGTATTTCTTTTCTTGGCCCTATTTGTGCCTCTTCTATAAAGAAGGGAGGGAAAGAGGCAGCCCTGGAGAACCATGGAGCCCCTCCCAGTCCCTTGGGTGGGGAGTCAGAGCAGCCTGCAAGCTGTTCGGCTGCCTCTGTGACAGTGTCAGTAGGAAAAATACAGCGAGCTTGAATCTGGGATATGTGGGCCTAGCTTTGGCCATTTACAAGGGATTTTTACCTGTTCCAAAATAACTGTCTAGACGATTGTTGAGAATGTGGTTAGAGGCCATTCTCAGTTCTGCTTTCAGTATGAATAAGGGCTAATGAAAGCAAACTGTTGGACTGGGTGGAGATGTTCTTATTTTGTGAGTGTTGGGAAATGGGTTTTGCTCTGATGGACAGCTGCCTTGGCCACTCTCTGAGCTGGCTCTGAGCTTGGAAGGAAGGATTGTTCCTCTGCTTCTGCTGTTTCCCAGGGGTGGGAGGGCCCTCCCTGGAGACTGTATTGCTGCACCACACCACGGCTTTGCTCCCCCACAAATGACAAGCAATTGTTTTGTGTGTCCGCTGGAGGATTGACCAAGCTGGTGAACAGGAAAGGTGATGCTATAGCCTTTTCCCAAGATCTAGTCCTTTCCTTTTGTTAACAGGACTCTGGGATTTTTTTTTAAGTGGAGATGGTTTGGGGTGTGGGACTATTTGCTCAGCCCTAGGTGATTGACTGATTTGTGATCATCTCCTTGTCACTAGAAGTGACCACGTACCAGCTATGGTCAGTGAGAATTAATTATTGGTATCCTAGGTGTTAGTACTTAGGCATTTACACTGGCCTGCCTTTGGAGTTCTAGCAGGATACATCCTCAGCTGCTGCCACTAAGAGCACCACCTGTGCACATTCACTATGTTCCCTTTTTAAAGGGCCCTGCCCACCTCCCATTCCTCCCTCCCTCCCTCCCTGTCTCTTTCTCTTTGTCTATTTGTCTGTCTGTCTGTCTGTCCCCCTCTGTCTGTCTCCCGACCCCGCCGCCGCCTCTCTTTCCTCTCTCATCTCTCTCCTGCTGCTCCTGTCCCCAGAAGCTGGTCTTTTCTCCCTTTCCCCATTTACAACCCTTTTCTTTAAAAAAAAACAAAAACAAAAACAAACAAACAAACAAACAAAAAAACCTCTGCTTGAACCCTGTTGCATGGTGTCTGTCTCACTTGAACTGCTTTTTAAAAATTACAACATTAGGGCCTTGGAGAAGACGTGCACTTTGCCTAATAAAAAAGTGATAGGAGGCTTTTCCTGGAACACAGACTTGAGATCCGGAGCAATAGCAACTAGTTTGTGATAGATAGGAATATGAAGAAAGGGCTAAAGGCATCTCACAACCACAGGCTCTGATGTCAAGGAGCCCTCAATCAACAGTAGTTAACTCCCTAACTTCTCATTTGTTGCTGCTACTGTTGACCTTTGACCACCAAAAGAGAGCTACAACCCCAAGTAGTAAATGCATACTTCTCAAATTCTGTACTGAAGTCCTCCATCACTGGAAGTGTAGGTAGCAGTAGCCCTGGCTCAAACTGACCTGTCTTCTTGTTTTGTTTTGTTTTTTCTATTCTCTCTCTCTCTCTCTCTCTCTCTCTCTCTCTCTCTCTCTCTCTCTCTCTCTGTGTGTGTGTGTGTGTTTGTGTGTATGTGTGTGTGAACACTGTGTGTGGGAAACCCAGGGTTGATGTTAGCAATAATCCGTGGTATTCATTGACAAGGTCTCTCAACCAAAACTGGGGCTTGCAGATATAGCTAGTCTTGCTGGCCAGCTTGCTCTGGGGTACCCTGTCTCAGCCTTCTGAGGCTGGGGTTACACATGCAGGCTTCCTACCTGGCAGTCACATGGGTTCTGGGGATCTGAACTCTTGCCAGGAAAACAGTTTAGCTACTAAGCCATCTCTCCCTGGACCCTAAAACTGAACTTTCACCCCGAAGAGATGACCTACACTTTATCTGACACAGTCTCACATATGTACATGTGTATTACATTCTATTTCATAATATATCAGTGTTTATATTAACATATAAATGGTTTAAATGCTGCTAAGAAAACATCCCCCACCACCTTATATAATTCTGATACTTTGGAAAGAAGCAGTTTATTTGGGGCCTGAATATTCCTGTGTTCTGTACATCTGTCCATACCGCCAAGAGCACAAGTGGCATGGTTTGAGAAGGATCAATTGGAAAAGTAGCAAAGATGAGGATTTAAAAAGATAGAGCTAGGATCATGATGCCCTTGGGGCATCAAGATAAGAAACTGGAGGTAAGTCAGGCTTGATGGCACACACCTTTAATCACAGCACTCAGGAGGCAGAGGCAAGCAGCTGTCTAAACTAGAGGCCAGCCTGGTCTACAGGGCTGGTCCCAGGATGGCCAGGGCTACAGAGGGAAGCCCTGTCATAAAAAACAATAACAAAAAAACAAGCAATGAGAGAGAGAGAGAGAGAGAGAGAGAGAGAGAGAGAGAGAGAGAGAGAGAGAGAGAGAGAGAGAGAGAGAGAGAAGAAAGAACAGAAATTGGTGCTAACCACCTTCAGAAGCGAGACACCAGAGAAGATAGCACTTCAGGAAACCTGCAAGGCCAACTTTCTGTGCAGGTGACTGGTGGTGGTGGAGCTCAGCAAGTTCGTACACTTTCTGCAACTTCTAACACATCCTGGAACGACACCAGATACATTTAGGCCACGTTTTGTCAAAGTAGTTAAGTGGCAAGATGAATATAGAAATAAGGAACCAACTCATTTTTCTTTTCTTCACTCCCTCCTTCACCCATCTTTGAATCTGGTCTCTGGCTCATTTGCAGCCGGTCAACTTAAGGTAAGATAAGAGTCTAGAAAGTGGGAGTGGAGAATAAGGGACTTGCGGGAGGCTTTTCTGAGTCACATGAGCTACAGCGCTGTGGGTGCTGGCGAGTGGAAAAAGAAGTCAATCCCCAAAGGGAGAGCATCCTCCTGAGTTCCCAAGAGAACGATGCTCCCAGAAAGGTCCTGGGAGGCTGTGGTGGCGAAGTGTATCTTTTCCCTCTCAAGAACCTTGTCTTCTTGAAAAAGCAACATTAGTTGCTTAAAGAACCAAAGGAAAGAAGTCTATTTCCCTTGGGAATAAGATAGGTGCTTGCATTTCACAAACAAGCCCCAGTAAACACATACAGCCTGGTTTAGGTTACAGTGGCTGAAGCATAGTAAGAGTTTTTGAGGAAATAAAGGGAGAAAGGGGAGAGAATTCTGAGTCAGGCCCTGGACCGATGGGGCTTGTAAAACTGGCCAATAAAATCCAGTTACAGAGCAGCTTTGTGAAGGCCTGCCGTAGCAAGCAGGGCCTCTGTCACTTCCCTCCCATCCTCCAGCTTACACTGTGGCTTATGTACTCTCTTGTGGCCTTGTGGCATTTAGCAGAGTGCCTTGAAAAGTGTGCTGTGGTGGCACTTTATTTTTTTAGTATGAAATTTATGGACTGTATTAGCTTTTCTGAAGGAAATGTTTCTCCTTCTCTAGGGTTTTTGGGTTTTTTTTGGGGGGGGGTTAGGTACTTTCTTTTCACAATTTGATCCTTACTTGCATTATTCTGAGTTCCATAGCCCCAAACAGTTCTGATCTTAAATTAGTTTATTAATTTGATTGCTAGTTATGTTCTATTTAGCTAAAAATTGGGAGTGTGTGTTTGTGTGTGTGTGTGTGTGTGTGTGTGTGTGTGTGTGCTGAGAATACTCATGTATGTCCTTCACTTTCAAATCATAGTAAGACTTCAACTAGTTTCTGTATCACTTCCAGAGGAACATAAAGAGATTTATGCAGAAATTCCAAGTGAATAACTGAACAAGATGGCCTTTTTTTTTATTGCTTTCCCCAAAGACATTCATTGAAAGCATCTAAGTAACACTCTATCAAAGACAAATCCAGGAAGAGTTAGGAGCAGGTCTGATATCATGGCTCAGTTCATCAGAGTCATTCCTTCCCTGGACAGAAACTTGGGCTGTTTCCTGGGGAAAAAGAATCAATTTGCATGTCCTAGTAATAGATAGTTTAGATATTTCAACCTCTGTTTTGGGGAAACTTTTGAAGGAACAGTGACAGTGATTATTTTAGTTTGGTTTCCAGTGCTGTGATAAAAACTATGACTAAAAGAATCCTGGATAGGAAGGGGTTTTATTTTAACTTACACTTGCAGGTCAACAGTCCATCATTGACGAAAGTCAGAGTAGGAACTTAGGCAGGAACCTGGATGCAGGAACTGAAACAAAAGCCACGGAAGAGCTGGCTGGTGGTGGCGCACGCCTTTGATCCCAGTACTTGGGAGGCAGAGGCAGGTGGGACTCTGTGAGTTCGAGGCCGGCCTGGTCTACAGAGCGAGTTCCAGGACAGCCAAGGCTACACAGAGAAACCCTGTCTTGAAAAACCAAACCAAACTAAAACAAAACAACAAAACAAAAAGCCACGGGAGAATGCTGCTTACTTGCTTGCAAGTGTAGAAACCTCCTGCTGAGCAAAACTGCTACACTAGGCGAATATCCCCAGCTGGAAGACCCTGTCCTGCGGGAGGGGAGCTGATACACTGGGGAAGCCTTTCCCTGAGACTGGCCTGTAAGCAGCTAAGTGCTAAGTTTACTGCAACCTGTGGTGGTCCTTGACTCCCGAGCTCCAGGAAACTTTCCACCTGAGCTGTGTAACACTCAGTATCCTGTGGCTCCCAAGTTCCAGGAAACTTTCCACCTGAGCTGTGTAACACTCAGTATCCTGTGGCTCCCAAGTTCCAGGATACCTTTCCACCTGAGCTGTGTAACACTCAGTATTCTGTGACTCCTGAGTGCCAAAATACCTGACCCACTCCTATTCCATCCCCATCTAGCCCAAAATGCTTACACACTGGAAAGAGTAATATAGGTGGGTCTGCTGGAGAAGACCAGACTGGATGGAAATGCTGAGGATGAACTGACATTAAAAAGACTGAGAGGGGTAAGTCTGACCCCCACACACAAACAGACGGTGAGGGCAACAGTCTTGTGGGAAACCAGATGAAAGAGTCCATCCGGTCAACCTGTGGTACACTGTTGAGTTATACATTAGTCCCCTGGGTTCACTCGGTGTCACGTGGTAACATGAACAAATACTTTATAAATACTGTTATTTGCCAAGTTATATTTAGAAGATGAATTTGGTTTCACTGTGTGGGAAAGATCAGAAAAAAGGAAGAAACTAGCTGTGGTGGCAGACCAAGTTAGGACGTAATTGTCTAGAAAGGGAATGAGTATTTTAGGAATTTAGTTGGGGTTGTTATTGCTCTGAGGCTGAATATTCCAAAGCAACATACTGCTGAAAGGGGGTGTTTGAAAAATCTGGAAAAAAAATGAAAAGTATGACCAAGTTTGGGTTTCAGTTGGGAGTGGTTGGGGGCCTGTGCCTGACTTCTTCCTGTCACTCTTCCTGTATTCTCTGACAGGTCTCCCTTTTCCTCCTTTGTTTTGGGCACTGGACCTTGGAATTTAGCACCAACCAACAGCCAGCAGAGCAAAGGCTAGCAAGTTCACCCCTTACAGTTTCCTGGATCTCCTGTGCAGGCGGAGCCTTCGTATAATGATGCCCCTTATCAAAGGCCTCACAGGGGGAGGGAGCTGTCTTATTGATCCTGATGTCTGCCCAGCTAATAGTTGCACTTTTGCAAAACATTTCCTTGCCAGAGTGTGTTCCCATCTAGAGGTGCTACACTCGCTGTGTTGGGGTACATCTGTACTCCTCTCCAGCTGCTACTGAGCTCCCCAGTGGTTACCTCCAGCCATTGGCAGAGTGTCATTTTGGGACCTGAGTGGCAACATATTCAGGTTGGATACTGAAGCAGGTCTCTGTATCCTGGTTCAGCTGTTCCATCAGAGAATGCCTAGAAGTGGGAGGTGGAGAACTTTGTAATACACAGGAAAACTCAGAGAAAAAGTGACAGATTCTAGTTTGCTCTTGTTAGAGCCATGGCTCTTGATCCTTTTTCCTTTCTTATATTTCTGAACTACCTCTCAGATGGTGACAGATGACTGTATCCTAGACCAACTGTGACCCCTGATAAAGCACTCACTGGAAATCTTGGAAAATCCCTTGAGCATTGACTGGGATACTTTCAGTGACAATATGTTTTAAAATTTTTCTGTTTATATACTTTTTGTCTAAATACAGAATCTGTTTGGAATGTGGAAAAAGGAAAAGAAAAAAATCAAAGCTCAATACACAACTCATTATCACTGGCTTTGAAAGACATCTACAGTAATTCATTTCAGGAGGGGTTTGTGAGTATGTAGTCTCCTTATATCCCACTCATTCTTGAGAGTTTAAACAGGGTCAAATCTGTTCTTTATAAAGCTTTTGCTGTGTGGGCACAAGCCACACTCTCCTCCTTCCTAACTTCTATGAGAGTTATAGAAAGTGCTGTGGTTTCAATGCGAACTGTGTCTTACCAGCATGGGTACATGGGTATCTCAGCACTTGTCCCTAGCTGGTGGCTATTTGGGGAGGTCTAGATCTTGATAGAGGAAGTACATCCTTGGGGGATGGGCTTTGAGATTATGTAGCTCTCCCCACTTCTAGTCTGCCCTCTCTGCTTTGTGCTTGTGGTAAAGTATGCAAGTTCTCAGTTCTCTGCTCTGCCTGCCTGCCTGCTGCTATGAACCCTCTGGAAATGTAAGCCCACATAAACTTTTTTTTGCTGTAAGTTGTTGCTGGGGTTTTTCTTTCTGCCAGGTCCCACCGCCCTTCAGCCCCAAATAAACATGTGGACGCTATATTAATTATAAAACTGTTGATGGGTGGCTAGTGCTTTTTATTGGCTACCTCTGACTTAATTATTAACCCATTTCAACATAGTCTTGGCTTACTAGAGAATGCCCAGCATGTCCTATCTTCACAGTCTGTATGTGGTGTCTCTCTATGGCACCTCTCTCTGCCTACCTTTTCCAGAATTCTCCTCATTTCCTAGTCCTGCCTATTTTCCTGCCTCCATTGGCCAAACAGTGTTTTATTCATCAACCAATAAGAGAAGCATATATACAGAAGGACATCCCCTATCAATAAGTTGCCTTGGTCATGGTGTTCTATTACAGCTACAGATAAGTCACACAGTCCTATGCCATTGGTCCCTTATTTTGTGCTGCCTCGCATTGTTCATCATTATGCCTTTGTCACAAGATGGTGACATATCATAGAAACTGGGTTTCCTCATTGTCTTCTTGTTACCACCACAGAGGTTGAGCATACAGATGAGAACTTGATCAACACCAAGTGACATTATTGTGTACCTACTTAGGGACTCATTTCAGGAGCCAGATCTACCGCTGGCCTTCCTTTTACTGCTGGAAGATCTCAGGGTTGGCACAACCCAGTGCTTACCATATGAAAAAGCTGTGCTGTGATGAAACTCATTACCTGTTAAGGGCCCCAAAAGAGCTGGATGGTGGTGGTGCGCACCTTTAAGGAGACAGAGGCAGGCAGATCTCTGAATTCAATGCCAGCCTGGTCTACTTAGTGAGTTCCAGGATAGTCAGGGCTACAAAGAGAAACCCTGTCCTGCAGAAACCAAGCCAAACCAAATAGCTATGGCTATGGCACAAGAAGCATGGGCTTTTGGGTCAGCAAATCTGAGCCCAGGACTTGCTTTCCCTGAGCAGCATTAGATAAGTACTTTTACCAGAGCATAGCTTTTCTTGTGTATAACATGGGAACCAAAATATTACTTAACTTCCTGGCATTTGTTGGCTAAACAGAATAAATTACATAGAACTATAGGTCCTATTAGCTCAGTCATGTAAGGAATGCAGTTCCTTTGGTTGACTTGGAATATGCTACTTGAAAGCTTAGGAGCTCAGAACAGAAGGTCCAGAGTCCCGTTCCTTCCATATGGGTCCTTTGCCTGTGCCAGTATGGAGAAGCCAGAGAGCTTACTACAAGGGTCAAGGGTCAAACTTCAGGTCTTTGGTCCATGCTGGGTGCTCCAGTCAGCCATCATGTTACTGCCAAAGACCGATGCTGCTGATTCATCACAGATGGGAAACAAAGTCCTAGGTTGTCAAGATCAGAGACGTTCTGGGCTCCTGGGCTTGTTATTGCTAGAGAGAGCTTCTACTAACTGTTCGGTTATCCTGGATCCGGAAGGACCATAAATCTGTGTGTCATCCTAACATGCACACAGAGACCAATACCTCACCTAAAAACATAATCTGACACAAAGTAAAAACATTTTAATGAGGCTTTATATAGTTAGAGCATGGACATTGGAATCCATGGCCTTGCTGTTTGACAAGGTTAGTAACAGGCCAGATTTCTATTTGCCAAAGGCCTGGGGATGGTTGTGAACTCAGAAATAGATGCAACAGTAAAGGGCTCTCCTGTTTGTGAATTGAGAGTGGCATAGTTGCTAGTGTGTGGCATGTGGAGAGATGTGTCTCTTCTTTCAAACTGGGAGGCGTGTGCCTGTTCCAACACTAACCACCAGGACAGCGGAGATGAAGAGCCTGGCCTCACATTGATGGGTGGTCTTGGAAGACAACCAAAGCCAGCGCTTGGAGGCCTATCCAGGGTAGCCCAGTGGAATGCCTTGGTGGTTTTTAGACTGAATGTTTTGGACCAACACATACCTTGGATCCTGTGCCTCAATCCTTTGCTATTTGCTCGTGGATAAAATGTAAAAAGAAGGACAGAAATATATTATTATGATGTATACATCTGACAAACTTCCTACTTCTGGTTGGGATGACTAAGTGGATCACTAGGGTATCAAGAGGACTCTGTTGTGTAGCATGCTAGGTTGGTAGGGTGTGTTGAAAGCTATGCAATTGGTCTGGCCTTCTGGCCTTTGAGTACTTGAATACATAGACAAGGGTTTCCTAGGAGTTAGATGCCTTGAGGCTGGGACTGCCTTGCCTGATTTATGTGGAATTGGTAAAGACAAGGAAGATGAATGGCCCATGCAGTAACCTGGCTACTGGAGCAGGAGCAGAGAAAACTTTAAGGAAGCTTCTAGCTGGGCACTTGGTGAGCTGGATGCCACTTCCTGCCTCTCATGAGGCACAGTGAACAAGCCTGTGTCGCATACAGATGTGTTCTTAAGGTCTAATGGAGGTCTAACCCTCAAGGCAGGACATGAGTCTTCTGAAGGGGAGATATGCCCCATGCTCCCTTTCGAGGAGAAAAATGGAGATCAACCCTCAAGACAGGAAGCAGGATGGGGAACAGGAGTGTGCATTGCATATATTTGGTTTTCCTCTCCAATGGACTCTGGCAATGGCTAAAAAATAGTGTCAGGTTTTAAATGTTTCTCCTACATTGTAATATCCTTTATGCACTGACTAAATCTTTACCATGAAATATTTATAAGTACACTGTCATGAGATAATGATCTGGAGGAATAAGGACAGAGATGGTCCTGGGGGCATAGCTTGTCCTTGTCACCTGTTTGGGAAGCCAGTCTTGAAGCCGGGTAAGCCAAGGCAGTACAGATCTTATACAGAGAAGCAAAGGCAGGCTGCGAGACAAGTGTGTGTCACAGACAGTAGAGAAAGGGGCACTTGCTGAGGAAAGAGCTGAGTTTCCTTTAAGATTAATGACGAATTTCAAATCTCTCAACTTCTGGAGAGACATTTTATTCCTTTACTCTCATCTTCAGACAGCAGAATTTTAGCCTCATAGGTTGACAGGATGCCCCCATGGGTCTCCAACTTCTGGTGAAGCAGGCAAGCTGGGGATCTAGTGAGTCTTGATTCTCAGAGTTGACTGTATCTGAGAAATCCTTCCCTTCCCTGCCATGCTCTTTTGTTTTGGGTGTTGTAGTTCACTCAATATTGTTTAACAATTTTGAATCTTTTCAGTAAAAATAAGAATTGGCGTGTAAGTAAGTAGAGTACAAATAAATAATCCCTGGCCAAGTTGAGGAGAGACAATCTATTATTAATTTATCTTTTTATCCCTCTGGAATAGAGACTATCATTTAACCAGAACAAAAGGTTATGCTCCAAGGGCAAATTAATATTTTTATCTTCCACAGGCTGAAAACTGTCAACAACTACTGAATTGCAGGAAACAAAGGAAAAGCAGATAAATTCCTTCATGCTCCAGTGTTCTCTGGTACCCAATCCCAGGTCCCAGCATCCTGCATGCCCTCCTTGTTGGGATTGCCAATGCTCCTGCTCCCAGCTGGACCTGTTGTCGCTCTCAGTTTCAAGCAAGGTTTACTGTATTCTTGCCCACAGTACCAAGTATCAGTAAGCAACGGGAGTCATTGCTTTCTGTTCATACGGTCTGTGGTAGGGCTATAAGTTGACCCCTTTGTGCATGTTCATAAACTCCCCCAAGAATTCTCTGGGCATGTGGCCCTTGAGGACACAATTTGAACTCCCATGGCTCCTTTGTAGTTATGCATGGACATCTGGCAATACTCTGGCCATTGGATTGTGAACACATGTGATGAGTCCCTCTTCTAAGTTGTATCTGTAAATGGGAGAGTGTACTGTTCCCTGTCCCTTTTCATAGAAGCAGGGGCATTTTTTAAGAAAGAAGTTCCCTAATGAAACTGGGCAGAAAGATTAAGAAGAACTTGGTTTCTGGTGCCAGTGCCCAGGGGCAGAAGTTCTCAGATGTTCCTTTTTCACAGCGCAGTGAGTATCTGTAATGAGACTTTTTCGCATTGCCTCCAGGCCAAAAAGCAATGCATAAAAATTCTGTTTTTTAAGTAGTTGTACCCAAAATGCTTTTTAAAATATACTAATTACTTCAAAACTATTGGAAAACTAATAAATTGAAAGAAAAATACTCATATCCCTTCTTCAATAACCACATCACTTATGAGTGGGTTGGTACCTGTTGAGTATTGCACAACTTCTGAGACCATAGGTTGTTTGCGTTC